CGTTATTCTGTGACCCACTGAGTCCCCGGACAAACGATATCTCGTAGTTCTTGATCATGCCATTGGTGTGTTGTGGTTCCTTCCAAGATACACGCACTGTGCTTGAATTGAGGACTCTCCACTGCACATCCAACACAGCACTGGGAACTGTAAAAATTACAAATAAGTTGACGCTCAATTCATCACAATACATATCATATTACAGTTAAACATAAACACAAATTTACCGGGAACTGTCGTGTAATGGTCAGAACTGCTTTTCCGTATTCAGATATTCTGATTCTGACATGGGCTGGCATGTCTTTCACACATTCATCCTACAATCTAATACTAACATATGAAGTTCCAAATGTCATTGAAACAGCCCAAGAATACCAGACACATGCATATCAGTTACAATTTACGACGACCCAAAACAAAACACATGCTTACCATCTTCGAGGGTGTAACACTCAACCTTCTGGCTGTACGGCCCATACTGGTTGGTGTGATCGTGTGCGCGCACTTTGAACTCGTACAAAGTGTATGGTTTCAAGGAAGTGATCTCCACACCCTGACTTGTGCTGCAAACATAATTTATGAAATTAAATTAAAAAATATGACAAAGACAGAATACCCACCTGCTTAAAGTAGATCTCGTTCCCGTATGCCACGAAGTTCTGTCTAACTGATGTGTCATTTATAAGTACAGCATCAACTGACAAAGGCAATAATGGCTGAATGTCGCGGAGAAGCATATGGGGAAAAACAAAAAGAAAAAGTGGTGAACACCGTCTTTGTTCAGCAAATACGTAATTCCCACCACTTCAATTATAATAAACGGAGTGAATCTGGCATCGTTACAAACTGATATTTTGTTAGAATGTCTAGACATATTTTTCATACAAGCCTCATTCGCTTAGCTTGTCAGATCTACTGTATAATGACAAGGAAATATGATGTGTGAAGAAAGGGAGCATTAACCCTTCGAAGCTGAAGCTCACGTAAACATTTCAAACTGCAAAGAAAGCATAACGCACCTCCAACGAAAAAATAAATTTGTTAATGGTGTATTAAGAAAATAATTGCTGCTTATTCTGTAAATCATACAAACCCCACAAAATGCAAAGAAACAGTCTGAATGTTAAAGCATTATACACATACAGTTACCACTAGTTTTAAAGAGTTAAAATAAAATCTGGGATGGTGTAGACCATTAGATACTGATAAATGCTTCAAGGAAGTTTATGACCTCCACCATCAGGGTCATCACCCTGACAATGGACACAGTACGCAACTCTGAAATGTCAGTCAATACTACCAACACCTCAGAAGGCAGACATCTTCATACCGATTGCCATGAGAACTTAAAATCTTACTAAACTGAATGAGCCACTAGCTTACCTGCTTACATAGTTGCAGACGGAGCTATTAAGTGCACGACTACTTTGAACCAGTCCGTAACAGACAGTATAGTAACTGACGTTCACAGCCGACTGGGGCGGAGTCCACGTTAGATTAATGGAAGTGGGGGATGTAGGTTCAGCCTCCAGATTGGTTGGGGGTTCCAGTCCCATGAAAGGATTGGCTGTCACGTCAGCACTTCCACTGGCAGGAAGAGTGTGAATGGCTTTTAAACCAAGAATGCCTGAACCTTCTCTATTATAGCCTTGTACAGTAACTTCATACCAAGAGTCTGCGTCTGCAAAATATACAATTCCGATGAAAAATCAGAGATAAATGTTAAAACTGAGCTACAGAACAATGGCCTTCAAACCTCTGCACACTGATTACTTGCACACCTCATACGATCACAGTTATCGCTGAATTGTACAGGTGCACAAGCACTGCATTGCATTATATTACGTGAGCAGGTACATCGTGGGTCACATAAGAATTTTCCCTAATATGACAAATTTGTTTTAATTCATTAGCACCTTCCATGGGTCAACAGAATTGTCTTACCTAAATTGCCCAAAAGGTACTGAGTAGTATTGGCATCCAGATCAATGGGTCCAAATTTTTCATTGTTCAGTTTGCGATAGTAAAGTCTGAACCCATTTGGCTTGTACTTATTTTCAGAAGAAAGGCTCCATGTCACCTGTAACCAGAAAACACATTCAAGTTAGTACATTTTAAGTTGTATTCTTCACCTAGTATATGAAACTTACAGCAAGAGAGAGCAGTAGAATGCACGGGAATTCAACACACAAATTTCAGTATAGCGAGATCACATGTTCAGTGTCACATTTTCATACTTCTGATTTTTCATTTCATGCCTACAACAGTGAAAGAACTTCTGGCCTCTGAAGGCGCTGAATATCAAACCAAACCAAAGTCCACAGATACAAAAATATGCAGACCGGAATATTTTCGTACAGATTGCAAAACAATATAAACAAAGGCAATTGAAAGATAAAATTATTTAAATAGTAAAAACACAGTCATTAAGGGAATTATTTCAACCTTACTTCACAAAATTTCAACCAATCAAATTAGTTGCATATAGATTAGAATTGACAGAAGGTATCTCGCAGCTAATCGGAGTGGGACATTCTTGTGCCTCAGTCTATAGAAACATCAATGCCAGGATAAAAAGAGGAAACGGAGGAATTACATAACCTGTTTAATCGGTTCGTAAAGCAGCACGACTCTAAGGGGAGAAGTCTGGCAGTCTCGGGTAGGTAATCATATACCAATACCAAGGGAAATTTTTATTCATCAGAACCATTCACAAAAAAATCAATTTTGATCAAAGTAGATTAAATATTTTCCTTCAGAAATATTCTTCCTTTTATGTATTGGCAATGCTATAACATTAATAGAATACAGGACTTAAAATAGAAACCTGCGTATTTGTACAATATTACTGATGCGCGCTCGCACACTACATACTTGCTTAACAAGAGGGTGCTATCATCCAAAAATAAAATAGCATGCCATACATTTTACCAGTTCCTCTACTAGATTTGGTAGCAACGTGGAAATAAGTATTTACAAATCTGCCAATATACAACGAACAGTGATATTTTCAGAAAACGCAGACCGTACCTCAATGGAAGTGGAGTTGACAACAGTCAAGTGTACTGTAGGTGCCTGAGGAACATTTTGTGGACTATAGTTAGGTGTTTCCATGTCATTCCACTCAAATTCTTCCGCCTGGTCTGGCCAACCCTTACTCGTGGCCGCAAGAACCCGAACCTGATACTTCTTGCCTGGATGCAACCCTGCAATAAAGAATAATTATGATAATAAACAAAAGAATACTGCACATACTTCAGGACACTTTTCACAAACTTGGTTAAAGGAAATTAGCTTAATCTCCTATCCTTGCTTTTATTTCCTACGTGAAAACAGATTATGAACATTTACTTAGAACAGATACAAGCACAAGACAGAATAAAATACTTCTAAGAGTCTTAAGACACACAAGAGGAGATAGCAAAGAATTATTTCCATAATTGCAATTCTGAAAAAATAATTGTTATACGGATTTCCTCTGTGGTCTCTGGTCTACATTTTATCCATGTTGTCTCACTGTTTCACAACTACATTACACTACAAACAAACTGCTTGTCACTACTTTAATTAAGCTTCAATAAAATTCAGAATTATCCTTCACTATAAAACATATGACATCCCGCGCCGTAGCCGCGCTGTCTGAGGCGTCATGCTTCGGACCGGCGATACGGAATGCGCGCTGGTTCGAGTCTCGGGGAAAGAAATTTTCTCATGAGCTTTCGACCAGTGTATGGGACCGGTGCCAACCCAGCATCATGAGGAAATTGGGGAGCTACAATGGGTAGCGTAATCCGGTCAGGAAAGCTAGCAATGGCTGGGGGTTCGTCGTGCTGACCACACGTCACCCTATATCTGGTTGGATGATCGTTCACCTCTGCTTAGGCATGTGAACGTGAGGCCGGCAGTCAAGCTAGACGGCTTTGGCTCTGTGGAGCCGTTACGCCACGGATAAAACATATGACATACATAAACCAAATTCTTCCTTCATCAGTAATTTTCAAACGCAGTGCTGTGTAAATGATTTCTTTATTTCGTATCTGCCCTGTAATCTGTTGAGAATTAAAAAAGTTGAATAACAATTGGTTTTAGAATTCACCGTCTTCTGTCACAAAGTTCATAATAACAGTACTCATTTAGCCACTTGAGTAGGTGTTTAAAAAACACCAAGTGGCCAAGAAGGAAAGTTTAAAAATATGCAGAATGGAAATTTACCTGTAATAGTGAAGTCGGTGATGTCACCTTTCACCTGTTCAACCCGAGAGGATGCTTGACCCTTTCTCCGCCACTGTATCTTGTACTCGGTTACCACACCTTGAGCTTTCTCTTTACTAAGGGGTGTCCACATAGCCCTGAGAGAAGTGGGGCTGGTGGCTTTTAGCAACACGTGTGGTGCAGCTTCAGGAACTAAATAAACAGCATGAAAATCACTTTTAGTAAACCATCTGGCACATTTCATTTCGCATTCTGTACACACTACACGCTGAAAAATCTAACAGTTCAGCATAACAAGTTAAAATACAAGCTTTTTTGCAGTACGCAAAAGTCTTACGTGAAAAATCACAAGCTATTTTCATCAAGTTCACAATTTTACAGGTAATTATAATCACAGCTCCTATTGGAACTAAACATGTTGACATATACGATACATCTCTAAGTACGAGGCGCGTCCACAAAGTAAGTTTCCCACTCGTCCCACAGCTAGCAAACCTTATATTGCGCGAAGCGACTGTGCGTACGTGATAGAGCAATGACGTAGCATGGCGCATGCACTAACGGCACCTCCCGCGTTCTCACAGTAGCATCGTTGCAGCTGTTGAAGATGGAGGTTCTTATTCCAGCCCCCGCCGACTGTGAAGTGCGGGCAGTGATAACGCTAGGCCGCACACGGCTCAACGGACAGCGAGTCTCCTGCAGGAGTTCAGCTGGGAGGTGTTTGATCATTCACCCTACAGCCCGGACCTCGCTCCCAGTCATTTCCATCTTTTCCTACACCTCAAGAAATTCCTGTCCTGTCAGCGTCAGCGTTTTGAGAATGACAGAGAGGCGGAGATGGTTGTCACACAGTGGTTCCAATCCCAGGCGGGCGACTTCTACGACACAGGTATTCAAAAGTTGGTCCTACGGTATGACAAATGTCTCAATTCCGGTGGCGAATATGTTGAAAAATAGCTGGACACTTGCTGTATCTGTTGCAATAAATATTTCCATGAAATTGTGTTTTGTTTCTGTAAACGGCCCCAGGGAAACTTACTTTGTGGACAAGCCTCGTATCTTTGCTGTTACCAAGTGTTTGCATGTTCCCTGCACGGTAAGACGCAGGACTAGTCAAAATCCTTCATAAACATCACAACAGCAAATGGGATTGCTAAGTTGGTCCTATGTCTTGAGCACCAAGTTCACAACACTTAAATCCCTCCGGACTACTCATTATGGGGTTTCATGAAAGATTCTGCATGAGCCCAGCATCAGAGGGCTGTAGGTTCAGATTGCATGCATGCCTAGCAACACTTGGGAAAAAATCACCACCACTTGAATGCCCGCCACATTAAGAAGCTCACCTATGAAGAAACTTCAGAATGTTCTCTTCATGAGCAACACCGCAGGCACTAGAAGCCATGCACCACTGCTTAAATCACACTAAAATGCAAGCGACTCGAGTGACAGAGAGGGCAACTACTGTGAGCGGTGGCAAGTATCTTTGTTTCCGGTAACGTGTTGTAATCGTTATGTTAATATGGATAAAAATGGCTCTAAAAATAAAGGATAATGAACCAACAATTCCTGTTAAACTGAAAGTGGTACGAGGGATGAATAAGTAAGAACTAAAAGCGGGATTGCCGACAATTCCTGTTAAACTGAAAGTGGTACAAGGGATGAAAAAGTAAGAACTAAAAGCGGGATTGCCATGGAGTATGGAATTGCACTACTTTCTGTTTCGACCTCTTTGGTCCCAATTTTCTCCACAATCTTTTCTCTTCCCTTCATGTGAGAGACCAAGCCTCACAGCCATACAAAACACCAGATAAGATTATAATTTTGCATATTCTGACATAGAATAATTCTTGCAGATAAGTACTGGAGCTCATGTCTACTTGGAGCTCAAATTCTAGTAGAACTCAAAAAGAGACTCTCACCTCCTTCACCAGTCTGACAATTAGTGCGTTTTGACTGATCACTGGCAGATTTCGAACTATAGGCACGCACATAAAATGTGTAATTTGTAAAGGCTGCAAGTTTTTGCACCAGGAAAGAGCAATTTACTGAAACTTCTTGTCGCTCTTCACCGCCATCTGAAACCATTAACAGCATATTTCAAAATATAATTTCAAACAATTTACTTGTACTCGTTAAATTGTAAGCTTATACAGCTGTATATTAATTAATTTTTAGCAGACAGAATTTAATAACAAGCCATACTCTGGACTGTCTAATATGGATGAATTGCTGACAGAAAATGTTATAAACCTTCAGCTTCTTGTGGTGTTTCCATCTTACAAGAAAATGGACAAAGTGAACTGGAACAGCTCTTCAACATCTCAGAATAATATTGTAATACTGCTGTTTCAACTCAAGAAACTCTGACTGTAGATGTCGTTGTTTAAATAGGGATGCATTTCAAAATGAACGCTTCTCACCTGTGGGAAGGTAATGTATTGTATAGGCAGTGATATTGTTCACAGACTTTGCAGGCTCCTGCCACTCTAACTTCACCAGAGAGTCAGACAGCGTGCGGCAGGTCAGACCCTGCGGCGGCTCCGGCTGGAAGCGGGACATGTTCACCAGCAGCCGCCCAGCTACCCAACTCTCGCCGACTTTGTTGCGGGTCATGCACTGGTACAGCCCCGAGTCATCTGTCACAGTGTTTGACAGCACCAATTCTGACGGTCGCTGCTTGATTCGACCTACGACATGAATACAAGAAGGCTTTATGTGACTAGAAAGAGGCCATGTGTCAATTTCACCTATCCTATTACGCTCGCTATGTAAAATATAGTGGATTTCCTTATTACATTGTAACATTAAATTAAAGATAAACAATCTCAGTTTCAGAGTTTATATATTGCCCTCAATGAACTTACACACAGATTACAAGAGTTCAACGCGCAGCATTTTAAAGATTATGGACTGAATGAAAAAATGTTTCATTTCTAAGCACAAGGATCAGCACTGCAGAACATAGAAATGCATAAGTGAGAAATACATCATTATGTCAGATGAAACACATGTTAATACCTTGCATACCGTGCAGAACAAAACGAGTATAGATTCTCACGTATTTTGTACGCAGTGTAAGACTTTCCCCATCTCTTTTATATAAATTCTCAATGAAATTAAGTGCAAGTTCGTGAAGTTACCAATTAATCTTGTACTTTGTAGCCGAACAAGACTTAAACAATCGCAGTTCCAAGTGCCGTTGTCAAAGGAAATAGTAACCAAGGCAAGAGCGAGTTGGGAGCATTTTTTGTTTTATTTTATTTAACAATATTTTACCACTTGCATGTCATAAAGTATCTAATTAAAAACAACTGTGGATGATGAATTAGAAAAATGTGGAAGAAATGGTCATGGCATATTAACAACTGTGGATGATGAATTAGAAAAAATGTGGAAGAAATGGTCACAGCATATTGTAGAAATAAATGCCTGAAATAACTGAGAAAACCTCAAATCTCGTACAGAAAATCATCAACATGGCAGTAATTACAGATACTAACCATTAATTTGCAACTTGTTCCCATTCTTCAGCCATACCACTTCTGTTGTTTTGTTCCCTTTAACTTCGCATTCAAAGCGCACGGTCTTTGCCGTGAGATACACCTGCGAAGTTGGAACCTTGACAAATGTCGGTGCCTCTAATACTTCAACTGACACCACCTAGCAAGAAAACAAATGATTAAGACAACAAAAATACCACCCCGGGCTGTATTTTACAAACACAGTGGAATGCTTAAATATCATTTCTTCTTTACGGCTGAAAATTGCCCCCTGCCCCCTCAAACTTTAAGAACAAAAACTAGCTACAATATACATAAAAAAACTGCATCTAAATGCACACATGAAAACCTTGCCATTAAATACACTGGCAAGGAGAAGTATACGCAGATACAGATGTTTACGTCCAACGCTCGGAACTGTATTATTAACGAAGCACAACTACCTCATTCAAAGGTATCGTTATATCACGGCATGCGTGAGACCACAAATATTTATATACTGAATGGAATACGATAATACCACTGAATGATAAAGTGACCTTGTCAATGCAACTTGTGGTCTTATGGATCACGACGCCCTGTAGTCTAGCACATAGTTGTCAATTAATACATATATCCAGCTCATTATCTCCCCTTAAGACAAAGTCAATCTGTCATCTGCATCCACCTAAAGAACTATACAGCGAAACAATGAACAAGATCACAAACCAAACTTTGTCAAGGCCACAGCTTAAGTACCTCACACAATATCTTTACAGTGTATTATAATCCGTACACGAAACTCAAATCTTACAGCTTTTCCTCAAGCATATATACAGAGCCATGATTTAATTCCATTCAGAGCGATAAATAGTATTCTTTCACAGAATGCATTTCTGTTTATTGGTTACACGGCCATTCACTGTGCCTATTAAATAATGAACACTGAAACTGTATAAAAACATGTTTCTAGTTAAGACAGTGGGCAATGTGCAGAGCGCACGTTACAAACATCGCATCTCTCAACAACACATCGTCATTTCAAGGGATTAATTCCTATGTCTTTCTGACGTTTGACTGATTCAAAAAATTGGTGCCTATAAACCATGATAATTATAGAGCATGGCTTATAGAAAATTAATCCCTAACCTTCAGTAAAAAAATCCATTCCTTTCACTGATAATGCTCCTTGTCACAGATCCACTAGAAAATGCAATTTTACTGAATAGCTAATTAAGAACAACGCTACTTTTATGCCAAGGCAGTTTGTCTACTGGCACATACAGATGTTAAAGCAAAGTAATGTTTTTGCCTTTCTATTACCACACCATATGTCAGAAACGCCATTAACATTAATTTGTGTTTCTCTCAAAATTAGACGCAGATGTTGCTGTATTTACTTAGTGCATGATTGGTAAATATAAATGTAATTAATGGATGGTACAGAAAAACCACTCGCCACGGTGGTCTAGCGGTTAGAACGCTGGCCTTGTAAGCCTGGGGTCCCGGGTTCAATTCCCGGTGGTGCTCAAATTTATAACTTGTGTTGGGCAAGGCCGTGGTCTAGGCATCACGGAGTTTTCCGCCGGAGGCTTCCCCGGTTTCTCCGTGGCATCCCA